TTTACATCTCTATCCCTGCCAAAAAAAGAAGCAGTAAAGCCTACAGTAACATTGCAAGAAGACTGACACACCGAGCAGGGATTAATGTGGCGCAAAAGCTCCACTTTAGCTAACCCGTGACCAAGTCAGCAAAATATTCGTCTATCCTCCTTCTGTATTGTCTGATTGCCGCCATTCTTCTCCACCAAAGACCTCTTGCTCGCTTGTGTGTACGCAACATCTTGTCAAAAACCCTTACTACCCGAATATTTCAGTCTTGGCCGATGCGGGACTTAGTCCCATTCCTATCACTGGCATTTCTGGCTTTTGGAGATGCGCATGTAGCGCTCACATTCCCTGAAGCACGATTTCCGCCATTAGACTTTCTCGACACATCACGTACTCATGGACCTTGTGGTGTTCCACTGCCACGACGACGTAAGTACTGAAGGCTACCTTTGGAACTTTTTCGATGAGTTTAAAGATATGGTCACACTTTGACGACTTCACTAACTGCAAAACTTTTCCCATTGTTATTGGTTCCAGCATTCTCAGTGAAACATTAAAACAGGTATTATTAGCAAGTTGCAATTCCTACTATAATTGCGTTGTTATTTTTTCTCCAAATTTCCACAAAAAAAAAGATTCATTCTACAACCAGTTAAATTTAGCACAGGAGCGAATATTGAGTAAAGCATTTAATCTATTCTTATACGGCTAGAAAGCAATTTATTGAAGAAACTAAATGGAAACAAAAACCTTTTGAAAACTCAGACGTTGGCCTTTGAATATCAAACTTATAGTTCCTTTGTATTACTCAAATTCCACTGTAATTACTCTAGGATGATTTTGTTTCAGCGCATTACACAAATTTGGTCGCAGGCAGTACCTACAACTTCACATGGAGGATGCAATACCCACATCAGGTAAGCTTTTACCCATCTTTAGGTTTCGCTATTACCTCATCTTGCAATTCCGACCAATCCCTTAGGTTTTTACCTATAAGTCTGGTTTAAAAATTCCAAAGAAAGTTCGATAAGTTAAATAGCTATAGGTCGTAAGTTTGACCCTGAAGAGTAAATAATGGTGTCTTAACTTAGGTGCCTTCATTATCTTCTAGATAAGATGGGTAAGCATCGACCAATTGCTCCAGTGCTGGGATTTTTTTCATGTACCCCATATATTTTAGCTGGTCTTAGAACACTCTCTTGTTTACCAAAAAAAATGACTTCTTCCTTAAAGGGCGGTTACCGAATAGTCCTCATCGACAAAGAAGGTCAAACCATAGAAGAATTAGCACCTTTGAATGGAATGGAATTTGCCGGTACCGATGAACCAATGTTAGTTTACCAAATGAATTTCCTAAAAATCCAACATAACTTATAAAAAGAACTTTTTCAGCGCCCAATCACAAAATGTTCGATTCACACGCGCATGCTCTCAATGTACAGTGATATTTGAGCGACAAGCATTGGAATGGGGTCAAAATTATCGGTTCCGTAGCTGCGCCGATGTGAATGTCCTGGAAACAATGCCTGGTAGGTGAAGAAAAAATGGACTTTGATTAGCTCAGAGCTTATAATCAACTCGGCTTAATCGGTTGATAATTTACAACAAGCAAATGTTAATCATTGATCTACGGCCAATAGCAGGATGGATACGCCACGCCCACAATAATCAAAAATCAA